CTACACCTCCACAGTGATCCTAAATCAAAATTTCAGGATTCCAACTCTATCGGTTCACCCACAATTCGAATTGTACCAACTTTAGTACACATTAGTACCAATTTCCAAATCTTCCTACATACTCCAATCCTACACCTCCACAGTGATCCTGAATCAAAATTTCAGGATTCAAACTTTATCGCTTCACCCACAATTTAAATTGTACCAAATTTAGTACACATTAGTACAAATTTCTAAAATTTCCTACATATTTCAATCTTACACCTCAACAATGATCCAGACTCCAAATTTCATGATTTTAGCTCTATTGGTTCATCCTGACCCTAATCCTACATCCCTACAATGATCCTAACTCCAAACTTTATTGTTCCAGTTCTATCGCTTCACCCAAATCCAAATTTTACCAATTATAGTACGATTTAGTATTTTTGTACACATAAGTAAAAATTTCCAAAACTACGTACATATCCCAATCCTACACTCCGACGGTAATGTTAATTTCAATTTTCAGGATCCCAGCTCGATTTGTACCTCCAAATCAAATTTGTACCAAATATAGTACCATATAGTATTTTTCGTACACATGAGTACACGCTTTCCCAACCCCCCTCCTATCGACCCTACTTCTCAACGTTATTTTACATTCCAAATTTCAAGTTTTTAGCTCAGTCCATTCACATGCTACGAAATTGTACCAAATTTAGTACATTTTCGTACTTTTCGGATAGTTATAGTTCGAATTTCCAAAAACCCTTTAGTACATCTATCCTGCAGTCAGTCAACGACCACCAACCCAAATTTCAGAGTTCTAGCTCCATCGGTTCGCCAAATACATTTAGTACTTTTCGTACCGTTCTAGTATGAATTTCCAAAAACCCAGCATTATCTGTCACCTTTGGACCAGAGTCACCCTCACCCAAAATTTCAAGATTCTAGCTTCAGCCGTTTCGTCTGGGCGTTGATGAATCGTTAAATCAATAATCGTTACTCTTTTATTAGTATAGAATTAGTACTTTTCGTACAGTTCTAGTACGAATTTCCAAAAACCCAGCCTTATCTCTGACATTTGGGCCAAGAGTGACCCTCACCCAAAATTTCAAGATTCTAGCTTCAGCCGTTTCGTCAAAAATTGTTTAGCCGTCATGAAAATGGAATTAAAAATTCAGCCAGGGATTCACAAATTTTAAAAGTAAGGTCAATATGCAAGCTGGGAGGGGATCTTTATAGACGAGCTGAAGTGAGTCTCTATAGACGAGGTAAAGTGAGTCTCTGCAGGTGAGCTGAATAACGTATCTGATGGTAGTCTTTATAAATTGAGTATTTAGAACAGCCTGAAAGTTGACAGTTTCTGTAGACGATCCGTACGAGTAGTAGATCCTCAAACATGTTACGCCTATCCGATCATCTAGATATTGTACACATACAACCAAAATCATTACAGAACATTTGTTAATGGGAATTATAGGATCAATATATATGAGTATCAATATTTGTGGAAAATTTTCTACAAGCCAGGATTTTATAGTATACTGATATCAGTCTAGAACGACTGGTACCGAGTCAGTGTTGTAATACTTGTATATACCCAATGTTGTATCACATTTCGGTCCGTACGAAAATTTCTCCTTTAAAATGTTTTTCGTTTCTTAAACATTTTTACGTGCCCCACGTGTCCTTAAAATTGACATATAATTACGAACTTTTTTCGAATTGTTAAAATAAACAACTCGTCCTTTTTTTCGTCCAAAAACAACTGTCCTTTTCCACCACTACCACAACGACTAAACGAGTGTTGTAACAACTGTCGGCAACTGCTAAAGCATATGTTTGTCAGCACATTTGATTGCCATGCCCAACAATGTGGCGAGTGAATGTCACAAGGCTTCTTGTGGAGTATGGATCTAACAAGGGGGTCGATAAAGTGCCTTAAGGTACCTCAAGTATCACTTTTATAATTAGAAGCCACAAATGAAACAAAACCAAACACAATAACAACAATTCCTCCAACTTACATACAAACCATCCTTAATGATTGTCATATTCTAAATACAACAATTTCAATTGCAGCGTGGAAAAACAAAAACAACTAGCCTTCAATATATGGAAAAGGTCATGACTTATAAAGTAAACGAACGAAAAAAACGACAGCAACAACAAAAATGTTTATATAAAATAAACGAAACAATTGCTTCTGCGTACTTGTGTCACACATTGCGTCACATATCGCATACACCAGGATTTGAATACGAACGAATATGTCAAATTAAGACAGACTATCTGTCTCAATTCATTAGTGGCGAGTAAACAATTACTTGCATTTGTTGTTGTTTCATGTTTTTCGTAAACTAAAGTGCATTTCAAAGTCATTGCATTCCTTTAGATATCTCCACGTTTGGTTTATGACCGACCTGCAGCTTGCATGGCTATCGCATTCAGCCACCTTTTGTTTAAGCGGCCAGCTGTAATTGATAGTGGAGCTGCTGCTACTGCTCTAGATAACCACCAACAAAATGTGGAGTGGAGTGTTATTTTAACTTTTTATTCTAATTTTAATTAATAATTATATGTTGTGAAAATGAGTATGTCGTTTTTGACTTTTTTGGATTGCCAGCTCATTTATTTTTAATTTTTGAGTAATGACTTTGTTGAATTCGGTAGGAGTTAACCAAAAAGTGGATAATGGGTTTCAATTGCCTACAAAAGTATGCAGTTGAAGATGATAACTTGACTTACCCTTTCATTAAATATTACTCTTTTAAGAAGTTAAATTACAATTTGACTATGCAATCACAATTATTTTTAATTATAACATGCATGTGCTCGTCAAATATTTAAAAAATCTGAAGTTAGTCAGGCACAGGCTTGGAAAAATTATTTAGTAATAGAACAAAATAATATAGACGAAGGGGTTTTTTATAAAACCTGAGGAGCGGAAGGGAGTCTCCATAGCTGAAGGAAGCCTGAAGGGCGTCTCTGCAGACGGGTTGATGAACATCTCTACAGATGGGCGTCTTTACATACAAGCATTTGCAGACGAGCTGAACGGTGTCTTTATAGACAAACTTGAAGGCAGGAAGTATCAATAGATCAGCCTAAAGTTAGAGAGTCTCTATAGGCGGACTCATGGTAGAATATTAAAATATCTTATTTAAATGACTCTATAAGTGAGGATTTTCAGACTCGATATGTGAGTCTTTGAGTCCCAAGTCCCTTTAGAAGGCATTGAACTCTTTTATTTATAAAATAAAAATGGTTTTCAAAAGACCGTCAAGAGCTGAAGTGAGTTTCTATAGACAAGCCTGAAAGTTGGGAGTCTTTACGGACGAGCTGAAGGGAATCATTATAGATGAAGGTCTATCTATATGGAATGTCTAAAGACGAGCGGAAAGGAATCTCCATAGACGAGCTGAATGAAGTATATATTGATGAGCTGAGTATCTATTGTCTCTCTATAGACGAGCTGAAGGGAGTATATATAGTTGTACTGAAGGCAACCTGTATAGACGAGCTGAAAAAGTCTCGATATGCCAGCTTTAGAGAGTCTTCATAGATAAGCTGAATGGAGTCACTTTATATCCCAGCTTAAAGACGGGGAGTCCCTTTAGACCAGTCTTATGACTGGAAGTCCCTATAGACCAGTCTTATGACTGGGAGTCCCAATAGACCAGCCTGAAGACCGGGAGTTCTACATACGAGCTAAAGGGAGTCTCTATAGACCATCTGAAGGGAATCGCTATAGACAACTTGAATGAAGTCTTTACAGACCAGCGGAAGGGAGCTTGCTTGAAGGCATATAGTATTTATAGACGAGCGGAAGCAGGAATTCTTCAAAGACGAGCTGATGGAGGAAGGCCTTTATTAATAAAAATGAGAAGAGCCTTTATTAATAAAAATGAGAAGAATACATTTATTAATAAAAATATTTTTTTTTTGATTAATTTTACTAGCGTGAAAATTGTTGATAAAGAAATTCGGATTAAATTTTGATATCGTATTAAAAGAATATTTAAGAAGACCGCTAAGAGGAGAATAACTATAGAATACCTATTGAATTTGTTCCATATAGACTAGTCTCAGGTGGAATTCTATGTATACGCTCAGAAGGTATTCAATCAATAGATGATTCTCAGTTTGTTATCTGTCTATTGAAGAGTATCAATATGTCTAAAAAGATTGATACATAAGAGATGTTCTATCTTATTCAGTTAGCTGATCACTCCTTTTAGCTCAGCTCTTTTGAGTGAACTAGGTCGGTCTTCTTGTTCAATACTTCGCGATATGGCTCTTTTATTCCGTTGTAATTTTAGTTCGATCGTTCTTTTAATAGTTCATCGCTCTTCGAATAGTTCAGTTGATAGTTTGCTTTCTTAGAAGAGTATGTTCTGTGAATAAACATTTTTTGGAATGATAAGTTTCAGAAGAATTAATTGACCTATATGGCGTGGATTCTTAATGAATGTTTCAGAAACACTTATGGACATATAAAGCGTGGATTTTTAATGAAAAGTTTCCGAAGAATTTAAAAATTACTTGATTTTAATCATAAAAATACTGAACAAATAAAACAACGTTTTTGGTTTGCCAACTGAATGAAAAAGCTGTTAATATCACATGCAAAATAAAACGCGATCTACGTCGCTTTCATTTAGACCAAATCGAACTAGATCAGTAAAAAGCTCAAATTTGAACTACTCTTTTAATGAACTAAAAAGAACGGCTTTGTAAGACATAGTTCAATCACTCTTTTTAGTGAATCGTTCATTGGAACTAGTTCGTTCGTGTACTGTACAACTCTATTATACATTAAAAATCCTCAGAAGATTCGACTATCAGAAGACGTTCTACATATGTCCGTCCTATGCATAGAAGACCATCAGGAGATCTTTTTTATATAGAAAAACTATAGAATTTATATAAACCTTTATTATTTGAAGTGTTCTAGCCCAACCTTCATAAAATATTAATATTTCAAAAATTCTCTCCTTCATTTATCATTTCAGATTCTTATTGTGGAAATTATACAATCTCGCCATCAAGAGAAAATCTCAAATGGTAATAACACTGGCCGACGTTATGTGTTTATGGGCTATGAAATACCCGAATGGTTGGTGCAATGCTATAAGAAAATTGGTATCTTCGGATTTGGTGCTGGTGTCTGCCAAATGACCACAGATATTGCCAAATACTCGATTGGACGTTTGAGGCCACATTTCTTTGCGGTAAGTAATTTGAGGAAAATTCTAAATCATTCTGGGACATTTTTGGAGAATGTCTTTCAGAAATAGTTTTTTTCCCACAACAAAGTTTCTAAAAACTTAGAACAGCCACTTATTTTGTGGCTGTTTGAACAAACACATGTCTGGCAGATTTCGTTGTTGGTTTTCAGAATAATGGCTATATTTTGTGGTGTTGAAGTTTATGGGTCTGTCAAAAACGAAAAGAACAGAAGAATTTAATTTCATCTTTATGGTAAGAGTTACAAGGGAAGAGGGAGAGAATTCCGAAAAAAGAACGAACATCAAAGTTAATATTTCAATGGACGACAAGCAATTGTCACTCGAAGTTTATGTACATGTTCCCACTTATTCTAATGGCTTGGAAATTTTGAATGTTACACATTGGCTAACCAAAAAAATCCAACACTAAAAGCAATACATTGTGTAATAATAAAAATTCATAGCAACGAATTTTATTATCCAAAATTTCCAAAGTCATTTAGCAATGGAGTTTTTTTCTTTTTTACTTCTCTGTGATACAATGTGCCACACTTGTTTGGTGCTGCAAGTAATTTAATTTCAGTTTTGTTGTTGTTTTTGTTTCATCTTTGTTTATTCTGAAGTTGAGTACCATACCGCACACTCAGCCAATATAAGGGGGAGGAATTCCCATTGTGTCTATTTATCCAGACGCCAGCTGTTTTTTTATATATTTTATTTTTGTTTTCATTTCAATTTTTTGGTTATTCCAATTATTTTTCCCCGACAAGCACTTCACCGTCATTAAAATGAGGAGAAGGGTTCAAAATTCTCCCAACATTTGTTGTGTCAAGAACGTGAGTACTGAATGAATGGTATTCCCCCTCTTTTTAAATGAAAATCAGCCATTCGATTTTGTTTTTATTATTTTATGAGTTCCTTTACCCCTAATTAGAACTGGATTTTTGTTTTCTGCTTTGGCGACAATGACAAAAAATCCAAATAAGACTTTTGCATATGTTTTGAGTTTTCAAGATGCTTCATTTGTCGGCACCAACATTTAATGGGTTATTAAAATTACAAAGTATTAAAAATATGAAGAAGTGGTATGTGAATATTTTCAAGGTCAGGAATAATACACCGCGCAACAAAAATTTTAAGAATGGAGAGATTTATTTTTTGTAATGAATACAGACGAACAAAAAGGCGTCTTTACAGATGATCTAAAAGGAGTCTCTATAGACGAGCTGAAGGGAGTCTCTATATAGACGAGCTGAAGGGAGTCTCTATAGACGAGCTGAAGGGAGTCTCTATATAGACGAGCTGAAGGGAGTCTCTATAGACGAGCTGAAGGGAGTCTCTATATAGACGAGCTGAAGGGAGTCTCTATAGACGAGCTGAAGGGAGTCTCTATATAGACGAGCTGAAGGGAGTCTCTATAGACGAGCTGAAGGGAGTCTCTATATAGACGAGCTGAAGGGAGTCTCTATAGACGAGCTGAAGGGAGTCTCTATAGACGAGCTGAAGGGAGTCTCTATAGACGAGCTGAAGGGAGTCTCTATAGACGAGCTGAAGGGAGTCTCTATAGACGAGCTGAAGGGAGTCTCTATAGACGAGCTGAAGGGAGTCTCTATAGACGAGCTGAAGGGAGTCTCTATAGACGAGCTGAAGGGAGTCTCTATAGACGAGCTGAAGGGAGTCTCTATAGACGAGCTGAAGGGAGTCTCTATAGACGAGCTGAAGGGAGTCTCTATAGACGAGCTGAAGGGAGTCTCTATAGACGAGCTGAAGGGAGTCTCTATAGACGAGCTGAAGGGAGTCTCTATAGACGAGCTGAAGGGAGTCTCTATAGACGAGCTGAAGGGAGTCTCTATAGACAAGCTGAAGGGAGTCTCTTTAGACGAGCTGAAGGGAGTCTCTATAGACGAGCTGAAGGGAGTCTCTATAGACGAGCTGAAGGGAGTCTCTATAGACGAGCTGAAGGGAGTCTCTATAGACGGAGCTGAAGGGAGTCTCTATAGACGGGTTGAAGGGCATCTTTACAGCCGATTTGATGGGCTTCGTTATAGACGAGCTCTGAAGATTAGCATATTTATAGATGTAGTGAAGGCGGGGTTTCTCTATAGAGGAGCTGAGGGTGCCTTTATAGACTGAAGAACGAATTTTTAACTCGACCTGTCTTTAGGCTAGTTGTCTGTTTACATTGAGCTGAAGTCATGGACGTTTTAAAACATTGTTTTATTATTAGCAGGTGAAGACAGTGAAAAAAAAAATTCTAGAGGATCTCTCTTCTATATAGAAGAGCGTTTTTATAGATTAGGATCTTTATAGACGTAGTGAAGGCGGGGTTTCTCTATAGAGGAGCTGAGGGTGCCTTTATAGACTGAATAACGCATTTTTAACTCGACCTGTCTTTAGGCTAGTTGTCTGTATACATTGAGCTGAAGTCATGCAGGTTTTAAAACATTGTTTTATTATTAGCAGCTGAAGACAGTGAAGAAAATCTCTAGAAGATTTCTCCTCTATATAGACGATCATTATGTAACTGTCTATTGTATAGATGACTATTAAATGTGTCCTTTTGTATGGAGACCCTTCTTCTTCTTCATTTGGGGATAAAATCACATATTACAAATGATGTAAAACGACAAAAACAAAAAGTGTTGGACAAATAACCACCCATGTAGCTCGCACACACACATGAGATTGTAATTCCAACTAATCCTCCCAAAAGAAACAAAGCGAATCGAATTTCTGGTAACACAAAATGAAAATCAAAACAACGAAAGTATTTATGGACCTAATCACCGAATAAATGCATCCAAAATACAATTCAACTAGACATCCATTTGAAAGGAATTCCATTCCCCCACCCTAGCAATGGCTGTAGGAAACCGGCTCAAATTGCAACTCTCGCACACACATTGTGGTCGGTGCGAACAAACCGAAATAAATCTTAATAATGATTTTGTTAAAATCACAACCAATTTACAGCCACTACCAAACAAACAAAAAAAAACGAAACCGAAAAAATCACACCAATTTCTGAGGAATTGTGGCAATAGAAATGGATTTCGGCAAAGCGGCTTACCAAAAGATTAAAACTGACCGACCGACCGATCGACCACCGCACAATTGCAACCGAACAGTGTGAAAATGTTAACGAAATTCTGCAACATAGTTTCGACTTGTTCGGATACACGTAAAGACCAAAAGGATCAGATCACAGAGACACAGAGGATATGTGGCCATTTACATGTGTGTTACACATGTCTTTAACATTATTCAAATGTGTGTTGTTGTTCTTGTTTTTACGTCGTTTAATTTCGTAACTTCGTTTCGAATTTAAACATTATTGCATAGATGTTAACAATGTAATATACGATGATCGGTGAAGAGAGAAGGCGGTATGGTAATTGTTGATAGTTGAAGGACTTCTTTATGGGTGAGCAGAAATAAAACAGAACCTGAAGAAAGTTTTTACAGGCGACCTGAGGGGAGTTTTCATAAACAATTGGGAGATCTTCTTTATAAGTGAACTGTAGGTGGCATTATAGACGATCTCAAGAAAGCCTTTATAGGGGAGGTGAAGGGTGCCTATATATAACTTTTTAGGGCTGATTGCAGAAAATGTGTGTAGGCGACCTGAATAGGCTCATTATAGACGAGCGGAAACCGGTCTTTATGAGCCAACTGAAGGGAGTCATTATAGACGAGCCAAAGGGAATTTCTATAGACGAGCTGGAGTGAGTCTCTATAGACGAAATGAAGGGAGTCATTATAGGCGATCTGAGACCCCTTGTCTTAGTTTTAGTTTTAGAAATTCTTTACATTTCAAGTCATTAGGACGATCTGGAGGGTCAAGGTCGAGCTCTTGGGCGTCTTCATGACGGGGATTTCTAAAGAGCTGAAGGACGCTGCAGGAAAAAATATTTTCCATTATATACGAACTCATTATATACAAATAAAGATAGTATTTACGGGCGAGGTGGAGGGCGTCTTTATAAAGGAACTGAAGGGAGACTTTATAAACGATCCAATGGAAGTCTTTAGAACGATTTTAAGGGAGCCTTTGTCGATGATTAGGGGAACTGCACTGATATTTATAGAGCTAAGGCGGCAAGAGTTTATTGATGAGCCAAAGACAAGGCAGTCATAAAGACGACCTGAAGTCCAGGTAAAAATTTTAATAGAACTTAACCCTATAGAGTATTATTAGAGCTAAAGCCCAGAGAGTGTTCATAGTAGACCTGAATGCCAGGAAGTGTTTACTGAGGAATTATTACAAAGGGAAGTTTTTAACTCGACTTAAAGGCCTAGGAAATTTTATAGACAATGTACAGAAAGTATTTTTAGGACGGTTGAATGCTAGTGACACTTAATAACCAAACCTGGAGGCTTTATTGATGAGCTGAAGGCCCGAATGCCTTTTTAGTCGACCTGAAGTTCAGGAATATTTTTATTCGATGTGATTAGTCGACCTGAAGTCCAGGAATGTTTTTTATTCGATGTGAACTAAGTTGTGAACTAAGGTCTGAGGTCAAGAAGCCCTTATAGTCAGGATATTTTCATAGAGAAGTTTAACGAGTTTTTATACCCTCAGACAATTTGGATTTCGGAAAATTTTTAGTCGATTTACAAATGTGTGTCCCATAGTCTGTCTAGCCGGCTGGTGTGCTCGATAACTCTCGAAGGGAGTAACCGATTTAATCCAAACATTGCACATCGTAATATTCCTTGCAAATTTAGAATATGTTCAAGAATGGTGTATATGAGTCGACTCCTTCTGGTACCTACCCCACACAACCTATTACCAAGCACAGATCACGTTCGTAGGTAAGATCCGTCGGCCCTCCCCCACAAAGGGGCAAATTTAATTGTAAATTTAATTTGAGGCGAATTGAATAACCGATTTGATCAACATTAAATTCGAAACCTATGATAAGCGAATAATAAAACCCATGTGTAATTCCGAAGATCTTCGCAAACCATAGACTGAGGGTATACATCTGTCGGCCACACTG